ACGAGGGAGCCCACCTCAGCAGTAACACCTTAGTGATCCTGCCGGCCCTGCCTCCACAGTGACTTCTAATACTCCTTCCCCCTCCCCCTCCTTCACTGGACAGGCAGCTGCCAGGAGGAGGCAACTTAGGAATGTGGCAAGGACATTTGCACATAGTACTCCTGCGGGGCACTGAGCTGCACAGGCCAAGTACCAGCAAGATCACCCTGAGGTGCTTAGAACAACACAGTCTCCATATGAGCAAAACAATCCAGGAACACAAGTAGAGAGGCCATCACTTTTGTGGAAGGTAGCAGGAGTTGACTTAACAGAGGACTGCTTCTCACATGGAATGTTCTATGTGGCTTGCTCCAGATTGAGCTCACCAAGCAGCCTGGTGATCCTAGCACATGAGGGCAGAACCACCAATGTGGTCTACAGAGAGGTCCTTCGGTAGAGGGGGAAAAAAACTACGTATGTCTCACTTCATTTCTTACACTACAATCTTCTCTGTTAGAATTCCTACAACAAATGCCACATTTCAAATTTCACATCATCGTTATTATAACTGGATTTATGGAACTTAAATATCGTAGTGAAGCACAGGTAGACGGCTAGTAGGATATAATTGAGCTGAATAAATTCAGCAATACCAAAAATTTCCCAAACCCCAGTATCATACTGATTTGGGAATATCAGCAAATACCAATATTTGTTCAGATCTGATATATCCGAACCCGAAAAATACCGATTTTGTTTTGGTGCACACCCCTAGTCCCCAGTGGGGAGAAAGACAGGATACAAATATCTGCTTAAATAAATGTTTTTAGTGATAAAGATTCCTGATCCAAATGCATCTAGAGACCTGCTGATGTGTTCAGCATAGTGCCATTATCTTATTAACTAGCAAAGCATATTTTCATGTTGGAGCTCTTGGCTTTCTTGTGCTTCTTAAACTTGTGGGATAACTTGAGTAGTTTCCCTGAATAAACCAGCACTTGTTATATGGCTCTGCTGCCCTCTACTGGGGAACAGCCATTAGTACACTGCAATTTTGGCATTTTAAGGAGCCCTCGTTGGATTTCCCTAATCTGGATGACCCAGGCTAGACCCATCTCATCAGATCTAGGAAGCTCATCAGATCTAGGAAGCTAAGCAAGGTCAGCCCTGTTCAGTATTTGGATGACAGACCAGCAGGGAAGACCAGGGTCACTATGCAGCGGCAGGCAATGGCAAACCACCTCTGAATGTCTCTTGCCTTGAAAACCCTATGGAGTTGCCATAAATTAGCTGTGACTTGTGGGCACTTTCCACCACCACTTGCTGAGTTCTGGTAAATAAAAATTCATAGGGAGATAGTACCTTCCACTAGAACACAAGGCAAAAGCAAGAAGTGTTCTGGACTCACTTTCTCTCACTTGTAGTAATCTGTAATTTAAAACAAACTGAGAATTGTTTTGTCGATCGCTTCTGTTGGAATGTTGGCACAACCACAGATATCTGAAAGAACATATCATGAGGAGGCCAGGAGAATCAGGGCCCAAGTACCATCAGTACATGGGAATGGGGTGGTGGCAGCGGGAAATTATAAGCTTCCTAAGGAACAATTGCTTGATAGTATGGGGTATAAAGGTCTTAAATAAAACAAAATATTAAAATAGTACAAAATTTGTAACATTCACCTTGTCCCCAATCCTGTCTCATGTACATAATCTTATGAATCATGGGGGGAAACCGTATTTTCTATCTGGAAGAGCCACAGTTGACTGTATCATGGTAGTGGACTTCATCCCTGACTGCCCACCCCCTCAAAGCCCTGGGCCAGGTAAAGTTCATCCATTCTGCATCCCTGTGGTTGAGCCCTGAGGCCAATAGTTCTCCTCGAAGAGGTAGACTGCTGGAGAGATTTAGGGTTAAAGTATCTACGATAGTGAAGGGTGCTTGGCTGATGCTAACCCTGGTGGCTTGCTGTTGCCCCTTTTCCTTCTCACAGCTGGGTGTGAAGAAAAAGAAGTTCATGCCTTATAACCACCAGCACAAGTACTTCTTCATCCGTGAGTATAATTTCCTTTCTGTTGCAAAATAGGGCTAGTGCTGCAAGCTCACAAAATTTAGTCGCTTACAAATGTTTTTATGAGATTGTTCACCCACACACAACAATGGTTCATATGATGTAAAAAGATGCATTCATACCTGGCCACCTATAGGTAATTCTTTTGCACCACAGATAACCAGGGGAATGGCTCTTTACAAGCCTCTTTTAGCCTGCAGTGCTTCTAACCCTGGGACCATTCTCCCTGTCCAGCTTTACAGCAGATTGCAACATACTGGCTGAAGGCAATCAGTTGCAGCCTGTTGGGTGAAAGCCTCTTCTCAGCTGGGTGAGGAGGCATGTTCAACACCGGGGCTTTTGGTTCTAATGGTCAGGTGCTTTAATGCTAAATCAGGAGAGAAAAAGAAGTGGTGCCCAGAGAACAAGAACCCTGCATTGCCAGAGCAGGGGAAGGGGGAAGTGGGAGATGACCGCACAAATTAGGGGAGAAACCAGGAAGTCTTCTAGGGCCCCGTTTGCTTACTGCTGATGTCGGATACTAATACATTCCTGAATTCACTTTTTAATTTGCTCCAGTTGGACCCCCAGCTCTGGTGCCCTTCTACCTACAGTGGTACATCTTCTACTTTGTGGTCCAGCGCAAACAGTGGGTGGTGAGTAGGCCTTGCTCTTTGCAGGCTTGTGGGCCCTTGTGAATCCCCAGCGTGGGTCGGGGGTCAGATGCAAGTCCAGTGGTCCAAGTGCATGTGACTTTGCTGGATACAATGTGTGCCCTTGCTTATGGCAGTTAGGTGGTGGGGTGGTGGGCAGGGCAGCAGGAGGATAGTTCTGTGGATTTTGTAAATAGACATGGGAGGGAGTGGTTTGTTTTCTCTTTTCCCTTCCACAAATGAAGCCACTTTATGATCCCCATTCCTTTTGCCTATCCACTTCTCTCTTGTTGTCCTCGAAAGTAAAACCTTTTAGTGTCTACCTTTTTTGGGCTCGGGAGCAATGTTCCCTCTAAGCTGTGGAGTCTTGTGAGCAAAAATTCTACTTTGTGAGCGACTGGCATTAAAGTTGTGAGCGAGCAGTTTGGCTCCTGCATCAATTAGTTTGCTCCGGAGCCATCCCTACCTGAGCTAAGACAAAAATCTGTGAGCCGGAGGCTAAAAAACTGTGAGCTGGCTCACACCAACTCAGCTTAGAGGGAACGCTGCTTGGGAGGGGTCTGCCCTCAGTACTTCACCTGTGGGCACTTGAGCAAGGAACCCTGGGGAGAGAACTCTGGGCTGTCATTTCCTGCACTGCAGATAGGGCTGCCAAGCCGCGGTGGGGGATCTGTGTGTCGTCACAGGATCCCTGCCGCGGGGGACAGCAATACGCGTTGCACCGCCGTCGCCAGGATGTGTGTCGTCACAGGATCCCTGCCGCGGGGGACAGGATACGCGTTGCACCACCATCGCCAGGATGTGACGCTACGCGTCACATCCTGGCGACGGCGGTGCAACGCGTATTGCTGTCCCCCGCGGCAGGGATCCTGTGACAACATACAGATCCCCCGCTGCGGCTTGGCAGCCCTAACTGCAGAAGGAAAGGGAGAGCACGGATATCTCGAAGTAGGACTCTGCAGGCAGGCTCCCGGGCTGAGCAAACGGGTGGGGGAAGTGTGGTATTATAATAATCGCTTCTTTAGAACATCCCTGCTCTCCTTTTGTGGCAGGACCTGGCCTGGATGGTGACTTTTTATATCCGGTTCTTTCTGACTTACTCATTCTTACTGGAACTCAAGAGTCTCCTTGCTCTCTTCTTCATGCTCAGGTAAATCAGATTTGAACCCCTTTCCTTCTTTCATGGGATGATCATCTCACGCCAATCTGCATTGATCAAAAAAGCAGAACTTTTTAATTACAACGGGTGATTCAGGCTTCATTGAGAGGGAACTTGTGTAAGTGTGTTTGCGCAATGAGTCTTTGCATGAACAGGTGTGCTATCTTTTCCACTCCCCTCTTGAGGCACAAATCTGTGCCCTGTGTGCTCCCGGAGCCAAATAAGGAACGCACGGTTGGAGTCCAGGGAGAGGATAAATATCTGGCTATTGCAGTAATCAGGGAAATACAGGACTGGATACCTTGGCATCCAGTAACACCAAGCTGTATTCTGCCTAGCGATGTAAAGGCCCAGAAAAAAAATCAGAAACATTCGAGGGGAAAACATTCTTCCCCCGTTTTTTTCCTGAAGCCTTTTTTGTTTTTTTCTGAAAAATTGGAAACATTGAAGATTATGGAACGTTTTATTTTAACATGATGTATAAAATATTTTAAGACAAGGTGTTCAAATATTTTCCAAATCGTTTCTAAAAAATACATATGGTATCAGATTGATCTAATTTCTGTGCACTGAGGACAAGCAAGTCCTAGGTTACCAACTGAACTCTCCAATGCGAGAAGAAGATGCATTTCTTCCTTTAGGAGGTGCTATTGTCACAAGAAAAGAAAAAGGTTTCAGTTTTGTTTTTGCATGTGGGTGGGAATTCTGTTTGTAATAATTGTTTGGATACACTATATTTTTAATATGCTAGTTGTGATAATTTCAAGCCAAGTAAAAATGTCCATAGTCATATTTTATGTTCCTAAAGTAACAGAATGACTTTCAATCTGGAAAAGAAAAAAATAGTGCTAATGTAGCATTTTTTTCAATTTTTCCAAAAATTTCCGGTTTTTCCTGGGGGAAAAAAATGGAAAAAACCTGGGTTTTTTCCGAGCTTCAAAATTTCTGGAAATTTTACATCTTTAATTCTGCCCCAACCAGGAAGGGCAACAGGTCTTATACCCCAAGTGACATCATTACAGTTTATACATTAAGAAATCTTCCATTGGGGTCCAACAGGTCTCATAATCAAAGCATCATTTTAGCTGGCATTTCTCTATTGGCAAACCCCTATCTGGATCTTAAGTGTCAATAATTGTGTCATCTTATCTGGCCCCAGAACAGTGGAGAAAACCTCAATGAACAGAGGGGCCTCCTTCTGGCATCATTCCTGGCTTGTTTGCTTCAGCATGGAACTAGGGAGTTTCCTGATAACATACATAAAACTTAACTCTTGGCCGACGTTCTGGGGCCAGATGCTCAGCTCTACACAAAAAGACATTTGTTTTGAAAACACTCCGTCTTTCCATCTCATAGCTACACTTTCAGAATGGCCTTCAGCTTATAATTTGAAATATGCATTGCATTCCATTATTTTCTGAATCTATCAAAAAGAACCTTTGGCAATTAAAAATACTCTCATTAACTCTATTCTAAGTCTCTTCTACATGGGTTAAGTGCTAAGGTCTAAATTCACTTTAATCAGACTCCTAATAAGGAGCTGTGGTGGCTGAAGTGCAGGCTGTGGAAGGTCAGTAGTTCAGCAGTTCGAGACCCGGGTGCCGCAAGACGGAGTGAGCTCCCGTCTCTAGTTCCAGCTCCTGCCAACCTAGCAGTTCGAAAGAAAGAAATTGCAAGTAGATAAATAGGTACCGCTTCGGTGGGAAGGTAACAGCGTTCCGTGCGCCTTGGTGTTTAGTCATGCCGGCCACATGACCACGGAAACGTCTTCGGACAGCGCTGGCTCTTCGGCTTTGAAATGGAGATGAGCACCACAACCCTAGAGTCGGACTCGACTGGCTTTCAAGCAAGGGAACCTTTACCTTTACCTTTAATAAAGCACAGTGACAGCTGTCATTTTACCTGTCAAGAGAAATGCCAGAAATCACAATCATAAATCCAATTCACTGGTCCCTTGTCCCAAACTGACACGTTTTAGTGCTGTGATTGTGAGTGCACCATGCTCATAAAGGAGGAATTAATCTAAACAAAATTATTTAATAACCCTTTCTTGTCAGTTGAGCAAGACTTTTAATCTTCCTCCGTCTACACCTTTTCACATGTGCATTTTCTTTTGCCCGATGTGATTTTGCAATCCTAATTCTAGCTCTGTGCTAACCTTCGAATGTCTGGGTTATTTGGAAATTGGCTTATTCGAGTACTGGTGTTTTCAGTGGCTTTCCCACTGAATTCAGTGGCTGACAATGTGGTCACTGCCTCCCTTTGTTTTGCACAGATTTATAGAGAGCCACTGGTTTGTCTGGGTGACACAAATGAACCACATCCCAATGAACATTGATTATGACAAAAATGTGGAATGGTTCTCAACCCAGGTGAGATTTGCATCCTTTCTAGTAATGATTATTATAAAGACAAGAACTCAGAGAGAGAGAGAGAGAGAGTGCAATGGCATCGTGAAGGAAAGGCTGGAGAATAATATTTGGTGGTCAGGGTGGGTTGGTATCATAGAGTGTATAAAGTTAGGAAGGAGTTTTAATAATCTTAAATGCAACAGGAATACGGGAGAAGACAGGGAGTGAAGAACAAGAACGAAGAGTTTGAAGCGCAGGAAAGTTTGGTGGAAAGTCCCCAATGGAATGCCTTTTGGGGGATTAATCTGTTTATTTCTGCCCTGCCTTCCTCCCCAGTGGGGACCCAAAAAGGCTCACATAATTCTCCTCTATTGTGTCCTCACAACAACCCTGTGAGGTAGGTTAGGCTGAGAATATGTGATTGGCCCAAGGTCACCCCAAACTGGGGATTTGGACCGGGATTTCCCAGATCCTAGGCTGACACTTTAACCCAGAGGTTCCCAGACTTTTCAAACCTGTGGGCACCTTTGGAATTCCAACAGATGGTGGTGGGTGCAACCAGAAATGGCTACCACAGGAAGTGGAGCCGTCCACAAACTGTCAGGGAGTGAGGTCATGCATAACTCTAATAGTAATATCCTTTTCACACGACTTTCTAAATCGAATGGTTTATGTTATTGTCCCGTCATGGAGTAAACCAGTACAGGGACGGCTGTTTCACACAGCCTTTCCCTTCCGGTAAGGAGCCATCTCTGAAGCGGTGTGTCATTTCAAACGGCGCCGCTTTCTTTTCCCGCCGTTTCCCCCCGTGTGCACGATCTTCCTGAGAGGGTTTTTCTTTGTTAGTGTTCTATTGGGAGCACTATGGCGCTGGAGCAGGACCACAGAGCAGCGCCATAGCAACCCCATTGAGATGCCTGGACTCCACTTAGACACACTGACATCCGCTACTGCTGTCACCAGGAAACAAGGAGCTCACTGGATACAGAGTTCAAGCGCAGGTGGGTGGGTGGGAACTGGACAGTTTTGAAACCCAGCAAGCTGTAAGATACATGAAGGACACAGCCACCGTGTCATCCTTTGAGCTGGTGTATTTATCTACAGTAAACTGAAGAGTATGGTCATGGTCAACGAAATCCAGCTGGCTTTCATCCCAAAATAACTTCATCCTCTACCCATGTTCTTATAAAGCAGGGAAGCCTATAACTTGCCCACCACTGACAGCAGACTTATTGGACAATAGTTACATGGATCTGTTGTATCACCTTTTTTGTAAATGGAAACTATCATTACATGTCACCAAGAGGTAAGCATGATGCCTGTCTCATTAATCTGAGTAAAAATAGGTGCAAATATCTTGGCCCACCAGTCTGCATTTACTTCAGATTACTCTGGAGGCACCAAATCAGGTCCTGGTACCTTCCCAGATTTCCTTTGAGAGATGAGAGATTTGACATCTGTTACTGCAACTGGCAGAAGTCCTGTTGAACAGGATGCCTTTGCAAATTAACATGTCGTTTTAAAATATTTTTTTCCTGCATACACACAACATCCCTTCAGTCATGCTGTGAACACCCGTGTGCTGTGGCGGCAGCTGCTGCCAGAGCAACTTTAAAAAAAGGATCTGCACAGCCAACCAGATCTTCAGTGCCCAATCAGAAGCCCTGCTGGGTAAAAAAAGCCCCATTTGGCCCCACCCACTTTCTTTTTGGGTCCCAGGAAAGGTGTCAGGATGCTTCGTGGCTCTTAGGGGGTACCATGTTGGGGACGGCTCTGACTGCTACACTTTTGTGTGTAATGTTCAACACATGAGCACTCATCATGGTTGGGTGGATGACTGGCCCCCAAGGAGTCTTGAAAGGTCCTTTATGTTGAGTCCTGAATCCAGTGTGATCCTTAATCTATCCTTCTAGCTGCCCCCCCCCAGTGATGTCGTGGTGGACCCTGGCCCTCTCAGGAGTGTGTATTATTGGAAACGTGCCATTGGCACAACCACGTGCATGCATATTATTCATCCACCCTTTGCCAAAGGCGCCTCTTTTTGCAGATTCTGTACTTCTGGTTAAAGTGCTCAATTGACAGTGGAGAAAACTCCAGTATGGATATCACTTCTTTCAGAGTAAAATTCAGTGTTTGTTCTTCTGAGTGGTGTGATGAAGACTTTCCCTTGGAACCCAGTGAAGTCGAGCAACCAGCCTGGAGATAGTGATCACACTAGAACCTCCCTCATTACGAGGGGCTCCTACACCAGTCCCTTATCTTTATTTTTCTCTTTGCAGTCATAAATCCCTGAACAAAGTAGGAGGGGGGTGGGGAAGGGTGTGCCATCATCCGCGGGAATGGCCAGCTGGATGGGAAACTGAAACACCGTCATGTGGCTGCTTATCTCTCTCCTCCCTCTGCAGCTCCAGGCAACCTGCAACGTGCACCAGTCTTTTTTCAATGACTGGTTCAGCGGACACCTCAATTTCCAAATTGAGCACCAGTGAGTACCTCCTTTTTGAAAGACAGGAAGATCTCTTGTGGCAAAGCAGTCATTACAGCTGCCAACACAGTTTGGGGAAACAGGCTTGACTCAGGGAGGAGTTCCAATCTGGACTGCTTGGCTTAAGCTGTCAGACAGGCAAAGAGGGAGATGCCCGTGCTGTAATTGGGAACCCGTTCTGAGGCCCTTTGCTAATATCTGCTTGGGCAAGCAGGGACCAAGTATAATGTCTCTAGGCCTAGAACAAATTTGTAACATGCGCTTCTCCACTCATGCACACTCATCCAGGGGTCATTTTATAGAAAAAGAGGTGCAGGAGCTCATTAGTGTAACTCATTTGCATAACTGCATATGCCACACCCCCTGACATCACTGGAAGTGTGTCAGAAGGCAACACCCACCGCTCAGGCTCCACTGGACTGTTTTGGATTGCTAGCTATTGGGGGGCGGGGGTGTTGGATTTCTAGGTATTGGGTGGGGGGGGGGGAACGCGCAGATCTGCCCTCACAGAGGAGGGAGAGCTTGTACCTGAAGGCGGGATGAAGGGGGGCTCTGCAACTTACCTGGCTCCTTCTTGCTCCTCGTGGCCCGACTGAGGGCTGCTGGGAGCAGGGGGCGGGGCTTGTTGCATGTGCCCCCCCGGGCTCCTTACTGCCAGAGCTCCGCTCCTGTGCGCTCCCGCAGGAAATGACCCCTGCGTCTCATCCTATACATACTGTGGCAGTGTGTCGTGAAAGAAAAAGGTCTTGATTTCTGAAATTACACAAACGGACCCCAGCGTGGTAGTGGGCTTGCAGTCTGGACTGAGCAGGCCTTCCTAGAACTTTGAGAGCGTACCCATTGTCTTCCTCCCCAAATTATGCTTGGGTCCTGGGCAGTAGGCAAGATTAACAAGCATGGAGAACTCTGGGGCCAGCTTCACAGTGGATTATTGCATGCAGTCATGAGCCTCAGGAGAGGGGAGTGTTGGGGGGCAGGCACATGATCCTATGATGTGTTCTTTCTCTGCAGCCTCTTTCCTACCATGCCTCGACACAACTTCTGGAAGGTGACTCCCTTGGTGAAGTCCATGTGTGCAAAATATGGCATTGAGTACCAGTCCAAGCCTCTGCTCACAGCCTTTGCGGACATTGTATAGTAGGTATCAGTCAATGTGATGCCAGAGTTTTGTGGCCCATATGAAAGGGTGGGTCATCTTGTGTGGGGAGTCATATCAGATGGACATGGTGTGAAAGGGCCACAAGCAGAATGGGAAAGGTGGGGTTTCAGAGGGGATTGTCTCTTGCGACTGCTTCTAATGCTACCCAGTAGGCTGGGGAGAATTTTAAATAGGGAAACACCCGTTGTTAAAGTCCCAGTTCCTGAAGCATTCGTCTCTGAAGAGTCTTCTGCAACCCCCTTGTAGAAATTATTGTTAGGGCCAGGGGTGCTGTGTTTTCCCATCTTCCTTAAAGAGCATCCAAATCCTGTGCTTTGTAGAGATTAGGCAAATATGGCATGTGCACGCAAACTATTTCTCATCAAGCATTTGGAAGTGCTAGTAGTGGATGCTCTGCAAAGGAGAGGTGCTTAGGCAAGGTCTAGGAGCCATGAGGAGGAGGGGAAGCGCTGCAGATAGAAACCCAGCCCATTTTGGCTGCACAGAGGAGACATAAAAATTCTGTGGCGTCTCATCTGGGATAGCACATTCACACATGCAAGTCACCAGGATGTTGTGATCAAGAGATGAACATGCATGTCTGAACAGGCTCTGTGGCTCTTTCTAGGAGATGTCACTGCCTCTCCTGGTGTAGTGGTTAAGTGTGCGGACTCTAATCTGGGAGAACGAGGTTTGATTCCCCACTCCTCCACTTGCACCTGCTGATGTGACCTCGGGTCAGTCACAAGCTCTGGCACAGCTGTTCCTGAAAGAGCAGTTTGTGTCAGAGTTCTCTCAGCCCCACCCACCTCACAGGGTGTCTGTTGTGGGGAGGGGAAGGGAAAGGAGTTTGTAAGCCGCTCTGAGACTCCAAGTGAAGGGCGGGGTATAAATCCAATCTCTTCTCTCTTCTCATGTGTATCTTTATCCTTCATGCTCACTAGAGTTGGTAGACTTCCTGGCCCACTGTCTCATTTCCCTTTATGTTTTATTTCCACTTGTTTTCTGAGCCACCATGATCTGTATTTTTCCCCCCTCTTTCCAGCTCTCTGAAGGATTCAGGGGAGCTCTGGCTGGATGCATACACGCACCATTAAGAAGGACGCAACATCTCCTTGGAGAGGAGCCACCCACTTTTGCCACCTCTAGAAATTGGCACCTTGAAGCAGGCAAGGGCCTCACTTCGGTGGGGGTGGGCAGCTGGTTGAGCTGAATTCGGCAACTGGATGTGATGTGTTACCCCTTGCTCTTTGCTCATTGCTCCTCTGGACTTCGTGAGCTACTGAGACGTTCCCCAGGGACATCTGTAGGACCAGGAAACAAACTCCCATCTATTTGCTGTCATATGTAGAGAGGAAATCTTACAAAGAATCTTTTGGCCTTGCTGTCTAACTTGCCTTGCTCCCTCTCAGAGTAAAAGGAACCAAGGATGAGGCGGAAGCCTGAGAAGTAAAGGAGGAGAGGGGTTGGGTGCGACAGGAAACAACATGCAGAGTCTGAGAGCTGCAACAGTTTGAAGATAAGAAACAAGACACAGCGAGAACCAGAGGAGATCATAGATGCCCAATTTCAGAAGAAGGACTGCAGGAAGAGAGCAGCCAAAGTCTGACATGGGGACAAGTGCCCAGGAAAGACTGGACAGTAGCTGGACTTCCTCAATGGCAGAAATCTATCAGGGGAGTCTGTAACATCGTTGGCTGTACTTTTCTCACAAAGAGCCAGTTTGGTGTAGTGGTTAAGTGTGTGGACTCTAATTTGGGAGAACCAGGTTTGATTCCCCACTCCTCTACTTGCACCTGGTTGGATGGCCTTGGGCAAGCCATAGTTCTGTCAGAGCTGTTCTTGAAAAAGAGCAGTTTCTGGCAAGAGCTCTCTCAGCCCCGCCTCCCTCACAGGGTGTCTGTTGTGGGGAGGGGAAGGGAAAGGAGTTTGTAAGCCGCTCTGAGACACCTTTGGGTAGTGAAGGGCAGGGTATAAATCCAATCTCTTCTTCTCTCCTCCTCCTCCTCCACTTGCCAATCCATAGGACGGATTTTGATTCACAAATAATGGATGTCAGTGGACTGATTATTGGCTCCTACACAGACGGAGAAATTGATGCTGATGGACACTCTGGTGCTTTCTTACTTTAACTGCGAATATGCCTTCAGTGGTTGAGGAGAAGGACCAAAGTAAACTTTTGTTACTCACCTGGAATGGCGTTCTTTCTATATTCCACCTTGCCCAGTTACTAAGGGCTCTTTGTCTACAACACAGCCAATTTGTCTGCACTCTGCAAAGAGAATACTCACTACCTACTCCGGGACGTCTCCTGTGAAAAGGATGCCTGTTTGTGATTTAAAGACATGTTTTGCATCACTTTGGAGCAGAGATTCCTCAAGTTGTAGCCAACTTCCAAGTAAAGGGGGGGGGGAAACACCCCAAGTCTCACCGTTATTTTGACAGAGAAAAGCCGCCATGATTTGTCCCTGTAACTCCTTCATGGCCTCTTAGTCACACAGACACCTCCCCATATGGTCAAAATGAGACACGGCCTTGAGGAAATTCAGCTCTAGACAAACATGGTACCTCTTTTACATGACGTCAGTTGATTGTTCAGCCCTTCTTGAGGTGGAGCAGGGGCAGGCCCGCTGGATTGTCCTCGTACTCTTCTCTCTGAGGCACACCGACCGGAGGGCCTGCAGCTAAACGTGCTTTGTGTTTCCCAAAGGAGAGATTACACGGAGGCGAAACTGTGTCTACAATCCTGGATTGCTTTCCAGACTTCTGCAGTGCCACTCACATTAACAAATGGGAATGTGTTTCATTTTTTTGCATCGCCCTGGTTGTAGGGAGCCAAGCTTAGAGGCAGAGTGGGAACCCTCACCCGTAATGGGTGGAAATGGTGTCATCATCTAATCACAATCACCCGTAATGGGTGGAAATGGTGTCATCTAATCACAGCAACTGCTCATTTATCCCTTTGGGAGGTCCGCATAATGTATGAAGGCGCGATTAGACTTCCTAGAAAACGTTACCATTCCAGCCCCCACAGAGAGCAGTGGTGCAGCCATCCAAAGGAAGCCATTCTGTTGCACCTCCGATTCTCTTGAAGGATGTGCCTGCCTGCAAGTCATGGTTTGAAAGGAAGAGAGCTATTCAGTGAATGGCCTTCAGAGCCTTATGCCACTTGCTGGCAATATAGCCCCACTGCCAAATTAGGTAAATGGTGAGCTTAAAGTGAAGGCCCCCCCCCCCGAGCTCTGAAATGCCTTCTCCTTGGAGCCTCCGTTCTTTCCTTCTGTTGAGTCCAACCCCTTCATTATCTGCCTCTCTCACAGAGAGAAGCATGTGATGAAAGATGCTTCCTGTCCCTTGGCTAACCCTTGCATCTGTTGCAGCCAGTCAGCTTGCCAGTTAGTTTCCAAACGAGAGTGGGAGTGATTTGCCATTTGGAGGGAATCCAGCCTTAGCATACGAAGGGGGTGGGAAATGGGGAGAGAGAGGAATGATTGTCTCCCCTGTGGATAAAAACAATGGACTGTTGTGTCATGTGTGCATTTTCAGTGGGGAATAACAAAACCGCACTTAAATCATAACCTGAATGTTGAATAACAAAGAGTAGTTTCAGCAAACGTTGTGTGCCTCCTTTCTGTCTTCGTTTGTTTTCCTCCTGTTTCTTGGTCCTGGGGGAGGTGGTCTAAAAGGAGGGTCGCCAGCTCTGGATTGGGAAGTACCTGGAGATTTGGGGGGTGGAGCCTGCGGAGGGCAGGGTTTGGGGAGGGAAGGGGAGGGGCTTCAATGGGGTAGAATGCCACGGAGTCCACCTTCCACAGCGGCCATATTCTGCTGATCTTGTCACCTGGAAATCCGTTGTAATAGCGGAAGATCTCCAGCCACGACCTGGAGGTTGGCAATCCTATCTAAAAGGGATCTCTTGTTTCTCTCCCAGTCCAAATGGTGTTAGGGTCTGTGTAGAAGACACAGCAGGCAGTCTGCGATGAGATTGCTTGCCTTTTTTCCCCTTCTTTTAAGAAAAGCTTAAAAACAGGTGAGTAGAAAGGGGGTTAAATCAGGCCAGGGAAGTTGCCACTGTTTGCTTAACTCTTTCTATTTGCTTAACTCATTCCCCTATATTGCTTTCTAAATCCTTCTCTGAAGTTGCCTTGCAGGGGGAAATTACAGGGCAAATATCTTCACGGAACAGTTTAGGGAACAGTTTAAGATGAGAAGTGCTTGCCCACTCCAGAACAGCTGATTTCAGGAGGGGTGTTGAAAGACCTGAGTCAGATTGAGGTGACGAGAGAGGAGGTCCTATGACTGATAGACAACTTAAAAACTGGCCCGGATGGCATACATCCCAGAGTTCTGAAAGAACTCAAATGTGAACTTGTGGATCTCCTGACAAAAATATGTAATCTTCATTAAAATCTGCCTCCATTCCTGAGGACTGGATGGTAACTAATGTCACTCCCATCTTTAAAAATGGTTCCAGGGGGGATCCGGGAAATTACAGGCCAGTCAGTATGACATCGATGCCGGATAAGTTGGTGGAAACCGTTATTAAGGAAAGAATTAGTAGGCACACTGATGAACAAAAACTATTGAGGCAGACTCAGCGTCAATGTGACAAATGCTGGTCAGTGTGGCCAAGTGCAAAGTGATGCACGTTGCGGCCAAAACTCCTAACTATAAATACATGTTGATGGGGTCAGAACTGGTGGAGACTGACCAAGAGAGAGATATTGGAGTCATAGTAGATAACTCAATGAAAATGTCAAGACAGTGTGCAACTGCAATTTTAAAAAGGCCAATGCTATGCTGGGGATTATTAGGAAGGGAATTGAAAACAAATCAGCCAGTATCATGATGCCTCCAGATAAATTGATGGTGCAAACTCATTTGGAATACTGTGTACAGTATTCCAGAACTGGTCACCACACCTCAAAAAGGATATAGCATTGGAAAAAGTGCAGAAAAGGGCAACTAGAATGATAAAAGGATTGAAACACTTGCCCTATGAAGAAAGTTTAAAGCGCTTGGGGCTCTTTAGCTTGGAGGAATGACGACTGAAGGGTGACACAACAGGTTTACAAGATTATGCATGGGATAGAGCAGGTAGAGAAAGAAATACTTTTCTCCCTTTCTCACAATACAAGAACTCGTGGGCACTCAATGAAATCGCTGAGCAGTTGGGTTAGAACAGTTAAAAGGAAGTACTTCTTCACCCAAAGAGTGATTAACACATGGAATTCACTGCTACAGGAGGTGGTGGCAGCTACAAGCATGGACGGCTCTCAAGAGGGAATTGGATAAACATATGGAGCAGAGGTCCATCAGTGGCTATTAGCCACAAGGTATAGATGGGAGGAGCTGTGGTGGCTCAAGTGGTTAAGACGCTGAACTGCAGGCTGTGGAAGGTCGGTAGTTCAGTTCGAGACCCGAGTGTGCTGCATGACGGAGTGAGCTCCCGCCTCTAGTTCCAGCTCCTGCCAACCGAGCAGTTCAAAAGCAAGAAATTGCAAGTAGATAAATAGGGACCACTTCGGTGGGAAGGTCACAGCGTTCTGTGCGCCTTGATGCTTAGTCCTGCCGGCCACATGACCACGGAAACGTCTTTGCACAGCGCTGGCTCTTTGAAACGGAGATGAGCACCGCAACCCTAGAGTCGGACTCGACTGGCTTTTGAGCAAGGGAACCTTTACCTAAAGATAGGAACCTTTTCTCAACTTGAAGCTCCCTTCCAAAGCTGCAGGTAGCTCTAAATGGAGGGTAGGGAAGACAAGCTGTGGTGCCTTTGTGCCTGCCTTTCACCACTCAAAGAGCTTATTTATTGCAACTTTGGTGGGGTGTTTTGAGTAATGGAAGAGTCTTTGGAGGAAAAGCTCAAAGCACTCTCACCCAGCAACCTCTCTGTCTTCAAATAAGCAGCCTGGGACTGCTAATTAGCTCTTTTAAAATGGCCAAAGATCCTAATCGTGGACGTGGCCCTCAGTGCACTTATTCAGATTTTGCTGCCTTTGAAGTAGGAATTTCCTCAAATACCTATTGGCCAGGTAGAGGCAGTGATATCAGAACACTCCCACCCATCAAGGGCTCTTGACTATTAGAGGGTAGTGGGAGGTCAAATTAGACACCTAGCCTTTCTGAAGTTGTGTATACCTATTGGGAAATAAAATATCTGTCCAACCTTTGTTCTGATTGGTTCAAAATGAGCACAAACTGGGTGGGACTGTGCTTCCTAGCTTGTAGTAGCAGATCTCAATCTTTGTCCGAGTGCCCATGATCAGAGTGGTTTGGTTTTTTTGTGGAAAGGTATAATTTTATTAGGGCAATTAGTGAAATTCTGACGGATAAGAATGGAGAGAGACTTTCTCCTCGTTTTACCACACATATTAGGAGTTCCTGTTCGTAGCAAAGAAGCACTTCAGCAAGACCATCTCATCTGAAAATTGTTGTTGCCCCCAGAGATTCCATACAAGGGAGAGAAAGATACATCAAACTCCATATATATTAAAGAAGGATTCTATCTTTTAAAATTTTTATTAATAATAAATGTAACATTACAATGAATGAAAACTGATTTTCAAGAGGTATAAGAGAGTGTTAGTGTTCCACATGAAAACATTTTGTAACCAGACAGACATTGCTCAACTATCAAACACAAAAATCACAGTAACTAACAGTGTCAAGTCAGACTATTAAGCCCTTGAATAACTAGCCTTGAAATTTTTAAATTTTTTATCAGTATAAGTGCTCAGCCTAAGGTGGATTCTATCTTAATTAAAGACACCATGACACAGAACTGTGGCTCCTGTGACTGGTGCAGGA